TTAGTCCAATCGAAGTCAAATTAGTCCAATCGAACTCGAATTACTCAAATCGAAGTCAAATTAGTATAATCGAACTCGAATTAGTCCAATCACAGTTAATTATAGTGTAATAGAACTAGAATTAGTCCAATCGAAGTCCAATTATTATAATCAAAGTCAAATTACTATAATCAAAATCAAATTAGTCCAATCAAAATCGAATTAGTCCAATCGAAATCAAATTAGTACAATCGAAGTCAAATTAGTCCAATCAAAGTCAAATTAGTACAATCGAAGTCATTCTAGTCCAATCGAAGTCGAACTAGTCCAATCGAAATCAAATTAGTACAATCGAAGTCAAATTAGTCCAATCAAAGTCAAATTAGTACAATCGAAGTCATTCTAGTCCAATCGAAGTCGAATTAGTACACTCGAAGTCGAATTAGTACAATCAAAGTCAAATTAGTACAATCGAAGTCAAATTACTATAATCGAAGTCAAATTAGTACAATCAAAGTCAATTATACTAAAATAGAAGTTGAATTAGTCCAATAGAAGTTAAATTACTATAATCGAAATCGAATTAGTCCAATCGAAGTCAAATTAGTATAATTGAAGTCAAATTACTATAATCAAAGTCAAATTAGTACAACCGAAGTCAATTATGGTGTAGTCGAACTCGAATTAGTCCAATATAAAGTCAATTAGTACAATATCAGGCAATTATGGTGTAATCAAACTCGAATTAGTCCAATTGAACTCAAATTAGTACAATCTCGGTCAATTATGGTGTGATCGAACTCGAATTAGTCCAATTGAATTTAAATTAGTACATTTTTGCTAGTTTTTTTTCGTTTTTCTTCTTGTTTTCCACCGTGTTAGGTCGGAAGCACCGCAAGAAATATTTTCAGCCCAAAAAATTTCCCTAAAAGCATTCTCAAGTAGTGGGATTCGTTGGCGACATGTAGGAAGAATCGAAACTCAATTTCGAGTTCGGACAAGTCCGAACGGTCCCGATATTCGAAGTCGTGCAAGGAAGCCGCCAACTTCAGGTCAAGAGCTTTGAGATAATAGGTTTTCAAGAATAGGTTGGATTTGAAAGCATAATTACATAGAAGGCTTCGTTGGCGACATGTAGTAAAAAACAAAATTCAGTTTCGAGTTCGGACGAGCCCAGACGAGCATGAATTTTGCTAATCTTATTCTTTTTTTATTCTTTTCCCTCGTTTTAGGCCGGAAGCCCCGTAAGAAATAGTTCCAGCCCGAAAATTGGTCAAAAAAGCATGCTCTAGTAGTAGGATTCATTGGCAACATGTAGGAAGAATCGATACTCAATTTCGAGTTCAGACGAGTCCTAATGGTCCCGATATGCGAAGTCGTGCAAGAAAGCCACCAACTTCAGGTCAAGAGCTTTGGGATAATAGGTTTTCATGAATAGGTT